AATCTTTTAAAGAAGACTGGAAACCCGTTCTAGCCTAGATAAAAAGATATTATCCATATGCAAAGACCACAGCAGAGTTTGAAGTGTAGGAAAACAACAGAATATGTTAAGAAACACGTTAGAGAGGATGAAATCAGATAAGATGGAACCTTAAAATGCAATCGCACGTAATTTGAGTTATAAACTTTGCTGGTGGGTGAGCGGGAATTCACTTGTCGAATTGGAATATAATTGTTGAGTAACAAATGTGGTTTTCTATATGGGGAAAAAGAATAAAATATTATTACAAAAAGGAAAAAAAGTGCACATTTCATCTTTAAAATAATGTTTTATTGAGCCAAAAACTGCATTGTTAAGAGAACTGTGAAACCCAAATGATATTTACATTATTCCTCTCCACGCATTTGTCTAAGAACTGTGGGTCAGGCCAAGTCGTATCTGGATTAGCACAGATTGAATTCCTCAAGCATCCTTACCTGCCACTCCATCTCCCTCCAGTCTCAGGAGCATGGGAGCTGCCTGCATTCATTCAACAATGATGGGAGGGATTCTGTACATGCTCAGGTAGCGTTGCTTTACAGCAGAGCATTTCATGTTGGCGACCCACTTTTTAGACATTTCGCGGCACAGTAATTCAGTTTTACGAGCAAAACCGGAGGTTAAACTAATCTCTTTCCAGCCCCAGGAGGAGCACCGGGAGCGTTTGCACAACACAACTACACACTGCAGCCGGCACACTGACGTATCGCGACACACAGTTAGGAAGCTCTGCTTTGTAGAATCCAGGGTGGAGCCAAAAGATGTCACAGGGGCCGACATGGAGCTGGAACTGTCCACACTGCACTTTTCCAGGCACGTGTCCCAACTCACCCCCCACCCCCCCAAAAGCAGGTCCCTGTGTTTCTGCCTCCAATCAACCCCACAGACATATGGCTGGTTTATTTCACAGCTGTTTACAGGAGAGCAGAGACTGCGCAGTTGCCAAGGTTGATTGAGAAAATGTGTCCCGGCAGCAGAGGATAATGTCTGAAAAGCTAAGCAAGGGGAGAAACCAAAAACAAAGCAGTGCGCGCTTCTATTTGGTCTCTATCAAGGAGGAAACCAGGAGGCCACATCTTGTTCCAGAGAAGGAATGAAATGTACAAACGGCCTTCGAGGAATGGAGAGTTCCCCTGTGAGCGAGCATCCGTAGCAAACTCGCCACTCTCTGCTAAGCAACTGTCTGGCCTCATCCAAGCTTGTCCATTTCATTATCCCTGATGCAGGAGCATCGTTACTGACTATCAACTTTTAATAATAATAATAATAATAATAATAATAATAATAATAAATAATAATAATAATTTAAACCCTGCCCATCTGGCTGGGTTTCCCCAGCTACTCTGGGCAGCTTCCAACAAAATATTAGAATACAATAGTCTGTTACACATTAAAATCTTCCCTGAACAGGGCTGCCTTCAGATGTCTTCTAAAAGTCTGGTAGTTGTTGTTCTCTTTGACATCTGATGGGAGGTGCGTTCCACAGGGTGGGCGCCACTACCGAGAAGGCCCTCTGCCTGGTTCCCTGTAACTTGGCTTCTTGCAGCGAGGGAACCGCCAAAAGGCCCTCGGTACTGCACCTCAGTGTCATCCAGCATCTCAATAACTGCCGGAAGGGGCATAGGTCAGTGACAGAGTACCAGAAATGCCTCAGGTTCCATCCCTGGCATCTCCAGGTAGAATTGGGAAAGACCCCTTCCCAAAATCTTGTAGAGTTGCCTCTGCTTCTGCCACTGATTCTGGACTTCTGTCTGCCACAGACTCTCCCTGCTCACGAAGCCCGGTTACCTCTTTGGCTTCCAACACCTCCTCTTCCAAGTCTCCTCCTCCTTCTTCCTCTGACCACACATGGTCATCTTACCACCTATCCCCAGGCTCTAAACCTTCTTCCCTTGGGGGGGTTCCCTAGCTGGTGCTTCCCATTACTGCTTGCTAACTTCCCATAAGAATGTGGTTGATCGCTGTTGGAACAGGATCCTAGACAAGACTGGCTTAATCCAGCAGGTTCATCTCATGTTATCATCATCTTCATCTTCATCATCATTGTTCCTTCCCCATCCCTAGTGGGAGGAATTCTAGTGCTCTCAGGTCATGCTGGCTAGCTTTCCATAAGCATCTATTTGACCACCGTGAGAATAAGCTAGACTAGATGGCCTTTGGTCTATTCCAGCAGGACTCTACTTCTCCTTCTGCAATGTAAGTGTTCTTCTTGCGTTCTGCTCACTTTCCTGGCCCCCAATTCCTCGCGTTCATCCCCCCCCACTGCCTCCCACCACTTGCCAGAGCAGAAGTAAAGAGGAAACAGACCTTAAGTCCCTACAAATAGCTCTCACCCCTCAAAATGAGGGTGTAATTATGTCAAATTGGAGACTTATTTCAGGCTTAAGGAGGTTGGGGGGGGGGGATAAACCACGAAAGCCTGGGCTCTTTTTTTCCCCTCCCTGAAAGCTGGATTTATTACACACGAGCGTGAAATGGGCTGTGTTTTATAGCAGAGGGGAGGAAGGAAGCAGAGAGAAGGAAGGAAGGGAAAGGAGGAAGAAAAAAAGATCAGATACAAATAGTCTCTCAGGAGCCAGGCTGTCCCAAGGCCGTTCCCGCAGGGGGTGTTCTGCACAGAAAGAATCCGAATGAAGGATGAGCTCATTGTGTGTGTTTGTCTGGCCAGGCGTGAGCTGTTTTCTTAAGTCATGGAAATAACCTCACGCCACAAGCACTACAGAAATTGGCAAAGCGATAAAGGCGCGCACTGTTTCGCCTGGGGGCCCGATAACCCGCCATGTAAACAAAACTGGCCGGCCCCTGCTTGGCGGGAGGAGGTCGGAAAGGACACAGAGGATGGACAGAAGGACTGATTTAGCTGAAAAATACCGAGAGAGAGAGAGAGAGAGAGAGAGAGAGAGAGAGAGAGAGAGAGAGAGAGAGAAGGCGGTTGGTTAGGCCAAAACTAGTAAAGGACACCTCAGAGGGGATAGGGGTGCCCTGCTTGTGTTTTCTCCCCACAATAACACAAAACAACAAGGCTTGCTTGGCCTAACCCAGCAATACCAGGCCAGTGTGGAGTAGTGGTTAGAGCCTGAGACTGAGACCTGGGAGCCCAGGGTTCAAATCTCCTCTTGGCCATGGGTGATCTTGGGCCAGTCACTGCCTCTCAGCCTAACCCACCTGTTGTGGGGATTAACTGAGGAAGGAAAGGAACCATGTATGCCACCTGAGGTCCTTGGGGCATCAAAGCAATGCAATGTAGCCAATATAAGGGCCAATAAGAAAGAGAGCCTTGTGGCCTTGCTTTTGTGGGAGATTAGCAGCCAAACCTAACATATGCATATTCTTCTGTTGTAAACAAAACCTGCCCTTTTTTCCCTTATGGGGTACCCAAGAGCCCATACAGAGTCCTTACGTAGGTTCCCTATTGGTAGGAGAAAATAACAGAGGCCAACCAGAGAATATTGAGAAGCAAAGCAGCAAGTAAGCCTGATCTTTATTGATCTGTTGCAACAGGGTGCTCCCCTCACCCGCAGGAGAGGAGGAGGAACCCAGAACAATGGCACGCAATGCCTTATATAGACATTTTAAATTCCCTGCCCTGGAGCTCAAGAGCACCCCTCCATACATCATACATACATCACAGAAGGGGTGTAACCTAAGACCACCACCCCCCAGATACATCATATCTACATCACAGAAAAGGTGGTCTAAAACAGAAATCTGAGTGACTTGTTTATCTCGTCTGACAGGTTACCTGTTTAATGGTCACTTGATTGGATTGCCTGTTTATTTGATTGGATACGCTGGGGAACCTGGCCAGTCTTTTGTAATGATAAATACTTAGTAATGAGTATACTCATTGAGTATACTTAGTAGTATAAATAAATACTTAGTAATGAGTACACAATGAGTATACTTAGTAGTATTTAGTTCCTGAGTCAGGTCACAGGCTCACTGTATTCAAACAGAGATACCCTTAAGACAGGATTTGTGAAGGAAAAGACAATGGGGAGGCGTTTCCATTTTCCTTTGACCTTGCAGAGAAAACATTTGCTCAGTTTGGGAATCAAAATGGTTTCAGGTCGGTCTTCCTGTGCTGATCTATGTACGTGCTTAGTTGGTACACTTATGAACATTTAACATACATCTAAGACCTCAAAGTTCCTATCACGCTTGCTAGTTGGCATGAGAAGGGGCTAACACCACAGAGCTGTACTGCTTTTTTTTTTTAATATATATTTTTATTGCTTTTTTCCAGATATCATATCAAACAACAAAAGAGAAAGAAAGAAAAAGAACAGAAAAAAGAAACAAATAGAATCCACCTTTTCCCATAACTTGCTGGACTTCCCCACGTCTCCCACACCCTGCTTTCTTAACAATAAAATGTCAGCAAATTAATATCTTGTTTCATGAGTTATTAATACTTTCAAGTAATTGTCTTTTAGGTTCAAAATACTTATTTTCAATTTACTTTTACTTTAATCTAAACACAATATTATTTTAAACTTTAGTCCTCTCTTAATCATATCCTAATTTCCAATATAAAAAATCTTATTGCTGAGGCTTGGTTTTTCAATTTATGCAAATTATTGACAATCAAATAACTTATAATGTTTTTGTAAATAGTCCTTAAATTTTTTCCAGTTCTCCTCCGTTGTCTCTTCTCCCAAATCTCGGATTCTGCCAGTCATTTCGTCCAATTCCATATAGTCCATCAATTGCATATGCCATTCTTCCAGAGTGGGCAAATCTTGTATCTTCCAGTGCTTTGCAATAAGTATTCTTGCTGCTGTTGTTGCATACATAAAAAAGGTTCTGTCGTTCTTTAACACATTCTGGCCGACAATGCCCAAACACAGAGCTGTACTGCTGACAGGCAGATACTCAGACCATAGAAATGCGATTGGTAGAGAGGGCTCTGTGCCGTTTCATTTCCCCTCCTCTCCCGGAGAGAAAGGAGCATAGAGTACTTCCTGTTTCTCTCTCTCTTCCTTTGACCAGCATAGGCTGCAAACATGCCTCCACTTGCTAAGCTGATCATACTGTAAATATAAGCAGGGCTTTTTTTTCCCCAGCCGGAGCTCACTGGAGCTCAGCTCCAGCACCTCTCATGTGGGTGCCATTGCCATTCTAAGACAACAAGGGAGATGTTTGTGGTGAGCTCCAGCACCTATTTTTCTAGAAAAATAGCACTGAATATAAGTATCTTGCCTGCATAGCTTTTACTGCTACTGTTGCTGACAACCAATGCATGGTTATAAAGTAAGTAAAACTTATCTTTAAAATTACTTTGCAAGTTGCTGCCTGGTTCTTTGTTAAGTATGAGGGGGAAAGCCAGTTTATTCCATTGCTCAAAAGGAGGCTTTGCAACCTAATTCCTATGCTTTTGATTTTGCTGCCAAGGATGGGGTTTGTGAAACTCTCTTCAGCCCATGCACATGGGCACGTGGAAGGATAAATTGCAATTAATAAATCCTCTCCTAACCGTCAAAACCTTTGACCGCCGGGGAGGGTTTCCTGGTCACCTTTGCAGTGAGATAGCAGCTGACTCAGTGTACTGTGTGTCAGCAGGGCTAAGCATGAGCCTGTGGACAATCGTCTATCACTTCCTGCCATGTGCTGAGGTCGCCATAGCTCAGTTGGTTAGAGTGTGGTGCTGATAACGCCAAGGTTGCAGGTTCGATCCCCGTATGGGACAGCTGCATATCCCTGCACTGCAGGGGGTTGGAGCCTTTTCAGTCTTCCCTTCGTATGCACAAGGATGTCACGAACTGACACGAACCCCAAGTTTCTCTGGCCAAATTCACACCATACATTTAAAGCACTGTAATACACTTTGATGAAGCCCCCAGTACTTTTTTTCTAAAAAAAATATGTTTAGGGGTACTCTCATTTTCCTACTCCTATTGAAATACTGCCCCTCAATGAGGCCAAACTTAGATTCACAAAATGTTTTGAGGTATATGTACCCCTGCGTCCCCCCAGGAAAAAAAGCACTGCTCCCTCCCCCCAAGAATTCTGGTAGGAAGTGAGATCAATTGTTGAACCATTGTGGAATTGTAGCTCTGTGAGAGGAATAGAGGTCTCCTAGCAACTCACAGCACCCTTTAGAAACTACACTTCCCAGGATCCTTTGAGGTAAGGGCTTTACACTCCATCTGGAGGAGCAGGTACGTAGCATGGGGGTGTTCCTGGATCTGCTGCTGTCCGTTGAGGTTCAGGTGGCCTCAGTGGCCCAGAGTGCCTTCCATCAGCTTTGGCTGGAGGCCCGGCTACTCCCCTATCTGGAAAGGGATAGCCTGACTACTGTTGTCTGTGCTCTGGTAACCTCTAGCTTACATTACTGCAACGCAATATATGTAGCGCTGCCTCTGAATTCAGCAGCCAGGTTGGGACAAGACAGTTTGAGCATATTACACCCATCCTGGCCCGACTGCACTGTCTGCCAATTCAAAATGCTGCTTTTGACCTATAAAGCCCTAAACGGCTCAGGATACCTCAAGGACTGCCTCTCCCCATATAAACCATCCCAGACCTGTGTTCATCCTCTAAGGCCTTTCTACGTGTGCCTTCCTCCACGTGAGGTTCAGAGGGTGGCAACACAAGAAGGGGCCTTTTCTGTGGTGGCTCCCCATTTGTAGAATGCTCTCCCTAGGGAGGCTTGCCTGGCGCCTTCATTGTATATTTGTAGGCAACAGGCGAAAACGTTTCCCTTCAACGAGGCCTTTGGCAGATTAATATCCTACGGCCTTTTAAATGTGTCTGTGGGAACGGGGGTGGGTTATTGTTTTGCTGATTTGCTTTACTTATTTACGTACTTGTTCTTTTATCCTGTAATTTATTATTATATATTATATTATATTTTAGCTGAGTGGGGTGTGCTCGTGTAATCTCACTCTATACGAGTTGTACAAGTGACAATAAAGTATTTCAATTTCAATTTCAATTATTCTGTGAACTGTCCTGAGATCTTATGGTGATGGGTTGCATATGAATCTAATAAATAAAATAAAAATAATTAGAGTGTGGCTGTAGCCTGAGGAAATGCCCCTTCTCAAACTTCCAGTCAGGAAGTGAGGTTTTGCTCTGTTTCCTCTTCCTTGGGAGTAAAATTACAGCTATAGGATGCTGCCTTATATTGAGTCAGACCTTTGGTTTGACTTTCTGTACTGACAGCTCTACAGGACGTGGGCAGTGCTGTGGTCTAAACCACTGAACCTCTTGGGCTTGCCGATCAGAAGGGCGGCAGTTTGAATCCCCTTGACGGAGTGAGCGCCCGTTGCTCTATCCCAGCTCCTGCCAACCTAGCAGTTTGAAGCACACCAGTGCAAGTAAATAGGTACCTCTGCAGTGGGAAGGTAAACGGCATTTCTGTGCACTCTGGTTTCTGTCACGGTGTCCCGTTGCACCAGAAGCGGTTTAGTCATGCTGGCCACACGCCCCGGAAAGCTGTCTGTGGACAAACACAGCTCCCTCGGCCTGAAAGCGAGATGAGCGCCACAACCCCATAGTCGCCTTTGACTGGACTTAACCGTCCCGGAGTCCTTTACCTTTTTACCTTTTACCTTACTGTCTGTACTGACAGCCCTCCTGGATTTCAGACTGGGGTCTCTCCTAGCCCTACCTGGAGATGAATTTGTGGCCTTCTGTGTGCAGGGCAGGTGCTGATATTTTGCTGGTATTTAATTTTACTGTTTACTATTCTATTGAATACTGGATTATTGAACACTGCTTTATTTGATATAAGTTGACTTTTTTAAAGTTACTGTGACTTTTTTGTATTTTATCAGATTGTTATTACGTGTGTGAACTTCCCCGTCTATTTTGTTTCTTCTTCAACTTGTAAATCACCTTGTGTATAGTAAATAGAAAGGCAACATACAAATTAAAAGTGAATCAAAATGAAAATATGCCTGCTTAGGCAGCAACTGGAGAGGTACTGATGGGATGGGGCAGCCATCTGGTTTCCTCCAACTTTCCTGTCCTGCGAACAGTGGTGTAGCATGGATTGCCAGCGCCCAGGGTAGGTGGGAGGTAAATGGATGGAGTACACATGCACATTCAATTGCCTAACAATGTCTACATCATCCTGGAGATTGCAGGTGCAGAGATAAGAAAAGAAGAGTTGTTCTGTTGTCTGGAAAGGTCACTTCCTGATTCGCACAGGAGAAGCCATTTTCAACGGATGCACACAACTGTATTAAGCCAGCACCAGGTGTTGGAATTTTGTGCCAATTTTGAGCCCAGGGCAACTGCCCCCCACCACCACCACCACCCGCTACACAATGGCCTGCAATATTTGCATTACACCAACGAGGTGGGAGACCTCAGGCCCAGGTGCGAAATGCAAGTCCAATTCATCCAGCCCTCAGACTTCTCCCCAGGCCACACACTCTCCTGAGCCAAACACTCTCTTCCCAGGCTACACCCTTCAAAGGAAATCAGTTTCTTGAGCTTAAGCCGAGAAAGAGTATTCTCTATAAGATTGAATATCAAATATACGTATAAAGACTTTGAGATTAGACCACTGAAGAAGTCTGGAAAATCTTGGGAGTGTGTTACCTGCAAGCCCCAATAAAAGGGCCCCATCGGGGGCGAACAGCGGCCCCTTGATTATTTGGACTGCCAGGGCGAAACAGCTGCAAAACGCCGGCACCCTGTTGTCCAAAACTTCATTAACATCTATCTACAACTCCACTAGCATCTCTCGGTGTTGTGAATAACTCCGAACTTACCTTTTGTTGGTATCTTCATGAACTTATCTAAAAGACTGAGTTACGCATTTGAAAAACCTATTGAAACCAGACATTATAAGTTCATCTTCGGTTGGGTAGTACGCAAGTCTCTGTGGCTTTGTTTAATGATTTGTATTTTTCTCAGAAGGTTGATAAAGAATGGATAATTTATTATTCTGTGTATATTAATCGCCAACGTGTTGCATGAGTCACACTACACCCTTCAAAAGTTTTACTTCATAGGCTCCTTGTATGTGGGGGGTTTGGTTTGGTTTGGTTTGGGTTGGGGTTTTTTGCCTCTCTGGATGGTGTCCTTGTCAGAAACTGGCAGGATTAGGAAGGGTGGTAGGAGTTGCCTGCCCAAAAGCCCCCAGGGAGGGCACAGATGACGACGATTTAGATCCCGGATCCTGGTGGTGGAATACCAGCCACACTTCAGAGCAGAGGACCCACTGGGAGATACAAGTAGCAGGAAGTGTGAGGGATCACGGAGAGGCAGGTGGGCCCAGCACAGGACAGAGAGATGAGGTTTCCAGTTTGCATGCTGACTCCGACAGAGGGGAGCCAGACCCTGCAGCTTTTGAGAGAGGGATTTTTAACTGTGAGAGCAGCAGATGTTGTTTTATGCTGCTATGTGCCTCAGAATCAGTTCTGCAAATATTAGTCAGCCTCGTATATAAATTCATGTAAATATGTTCCAGTATACCAAGTAAAGCAATGTGTTATTTTAAACTTTTAAACCACGAGTTTTGCGCAGTCTTTTCTAGGAGGGGGGAAAAGAGAACTGTTTAAAAAGGGCCAAACGACTCGGGGAAACTTCCGCATAATTAAAGCAAAATTGCCACAGAGCTCTCCTGCGACACTAACAGCACAGCCCCTCCAGCCCCCTGACTCCCAGAATGTGAAGGATGTTGCTGAGGAACAGGCCAGACAGGCACAGAAAGTAGGTTTCTGCCATAGCGGAAGATTACAGGGGTGAAGACCTGACTCAGAGGGCTAGAGAGCAAAGGAGAGGCGTTTTCATCCCCCAAAAAGTTTTTGATTTGTGTTCCTACTGAAACGAGGCTGCATTTTAATGTTGTATTTTAATCTTGTTTTTAAGTTGTATTTCAATCAATTGTTTTTATATCTGGTGTTAGCCGCCCTGAGCTCGGTCTTGGCTGGGGAGGGCGGGGTATAAATAAAATTTATTATTACTATTATTATTATTACAGTGGTAATAATATTAATAATACAGTGGTACCTCAGGTTAAGTACTTAATTCGTTCCGGAGCTCCGTACTTAACCTGAAACTGTTCTTAACCTGAAGCACCACTTTAGCTAATGGGGCCTCCTGCTGCTGCCACGCCGCCGGAGCACGATTTCTGTTCTCATCCTGAAGCAAAGTTCTTAACCTGAAGCACTATTTCTGGGTTAGCGGAGTGTGTAACCTGAAGCGTATGTAACCTGAGGTACCACTGTATTATTATTATTAAAGAAGCTACGGTAACTGCATATTAGCCTCGTATCTCCCTCTTTGGCCTGTGAGTGACCTGCTTGTCCTGTCAGCCCCTTGACAGTCCTTGAGCTCCGATAACGCCTCTTCGTTGTCTGGGCGGAGGATAGAGAGGGTGTAAAATTCATGTCTGTGGCTCCACCCACTTTTGCCTCTGACCCCGCCCACCGCAGCTATGTAGCCCCAAGATGGCTGTCTTAGAGGAGCCACATGGCCCTCAGGTTAACAACCCCTGCATTGCACATTTTAAAAAACAAAAAACACCAGTCATCGTTTTCCATGGACATGACTTTATTCATTTAATACTTTTTAGGAATATATCTGTATAACTCTGAAACGTCAAGCTAAATATCTCAGGAGCAGGATTGCCCAGTTGCTACATGATGAAGAGCAGAGAAGAAAGAAAGTCGTCGCATAAATACTTTTTACAGGGAAATAATAAATATGCCATTTTAATCTTGGGAAGTGCAGTTTTTCCGTTGCCAAGTCCACCAGAGGAAACAAATGCTAAAGGCCACACACACACACACACATATATCTTACAAGTTGACGAAGCAGGAACAACTGGGGAAGGGATATACCCAGGTGCTGAATTTTGTCTTGTTTAAAGCAGGTTTGGAGTCCAGCAACATCTGGAAGGGCTGCCAATTCCGTATGGACTGTCCAGATGTTGATGCCTGGAGGATGCTAAACGAATGGGACGGGAGCACTAAATGAAGCGCAGCTGAGCTCATGCGTAGCACATGTTTCCCGCTGCCGAATAACCGAGACTCGCACATCTGGATTTGGGGGGGAAGGTGTCCAAGTCGAGGGACTGAACTCCAAGGAGGCTTGAGGCCTGGGTGCTGCTCGTTTCAGAAACGGAAAATTACTTTAATTCCTGTTTCAGTGACGGCAGAATTGGCAGCACTTTCAAAGTTCTGAACATATGTGTGTGTGTGTGTGTGTGTGTGTGTTTGCCCATGAGCTTTCCTTGCAAAAACCCGCTTTTTGGTGCTCAGTCGGAGCAAATGTCAATTTGGGTTTTCTGCAGATTGCCATTTGCTCCGATTCAGCTTTAAAGAGCTGGTTTTTGTGGAAAATCTCTGGAGGGAAAGAAAAAAAAAGGTGCTCAGACACAGAGCATTAAAGCACGGACCGTGCCTGGAAAGAGCAGAGGAAAGTTAAATGTGAATCATCCCTAAGCTCTGCTGAAATCAGTGGGAATTACTTCTGAGAAGGAATGGATAGGATTGTAACGGACGCAAAACTAACACATATGAAAGAAGCCCCTTTTGACTACAGTGAGACTTGCACCCATGGGCTCGGACTGCAAGCCTCGCTGGAGCAAAATGGGAGTATCTATGACTTCCTGCACAAAAGGTTTTTATCGAGTGCAATGGAAATTCTTTATCCTTGGTTATTATTGTTGCTGCTGCAGCAGAGAAAAGGTCTTCCTCAGTGTTTTAAAAGGAGGTTTTTAGCCCTCATTGTTGCAGAGAACAGCTTTTGAGCATCAGCTGTGTGTTGGCATTGAGAAACAACATTCTAGTTCTAATCCAGATCAAAGGCTGGGGGGGGGGAGTGGCAAATGCCTAAACCGACAAGCCACATTATACTGAGTTGCACCAGATCGACGGCATCCTAAGAATCAACGAATGGTCAAGACAAACAAGGGAACACAAGGGTGGCTCCACATGTGCCGAGGTTGACGCACCTGTTGATGAACACATCACAAACGAAAGGAGTAACTCCATGGTACAGACTTCTAACTTCTGCACAGCTAGCATATCTGGTCCACGTTTAGAAACCTATTTCCACAAACAGATTGAATCCACTTGACTGGAGCAAATGAATCTGGGTCCCCTCTGAATTGCCCTTGTGTTCCTAAAAAACACCCCCTGCCCAAAAAGAAATATTTTTTCCTGCCACTTTGAGGACTAGAAACTTGTTTTGCCTTTCCCTTTTTAAAAAAAAATTGGGACTCCCAGAATACTAGTAAAAGGCTGCTGCATGGTATATACTTTCTGACCCTAAAATAGCAAGCCACATTCAGCCTTCGAGCACCCTGTATTTATGTACAAGTCAGGCTCTGTACAATACTGCATGGTTTTAAAATCTCTCCCCCCCCCCCCGGTTCTTTTGGGTTTCCTGGTCCAACTTGCCCTTACAAAGTAAGCTGTCTGCAAAGACATGTGTGCATTTGGCACTGTACAATAAGGCGTGATTTCATTTTTAATTTTGTAAGTGTCCCATTTCTCCTGGTGAATGGAGGGGCAACCCAACAGATCACAGGACAGGAAGCAAATACGTCCCGCTGACCAAGACCTTAGCACATAGTTCAGGCAATGCTGCGGCACAACAAGGAGCGACGCATTAATGTGCGACATGTGAAGAAGCAAGGATAGCAGAGAAGGCGTGCAGGTGAGCACACACCTGGAGAGATGTCACCTGGTTCTAAACTGATGTTTGCTTTCGCAGAGAGGCGCCAGTCCTTTGTCAAACAGAGTCAGGGCAAGGAAAGGGAGGCAGCGGAACAAGTTGGCCCTGCTCACTTGCTTTGGCCTTTCGAATCACACCACCCCTTGCGGACCCTCTGAGCGAATCACCTCTCAGGCCTCCTCCAGCTCAGTTTCGCTCTGTCCATTCCCCCCACCCCACCCTTCACCTCTCTCGTCCGACCACCTTGAGGAGAGTCGGATAGCTTTTGGGCTGCATGAGCTCTGAACCTCCAACCGGGGCGGCGGCCATGGAGACCCCTCGACACCATCCCCCGCTCACTCCATTCCATGTTTATCCAGTCGCCATCAACAACAATGAAAAGAGAGGGTGGACCATGCAGAAAACAAAAATCTGGGCTGGGCCTCGCCAACGGCCCCTCCGCTTAGTAGGAGTTCTCCAGCTCCGGCTGGTTGGCCTTACTGCCCCTAGCCCTGGAGAGACGTGGCTTTTTGTTCTTCTGGGGCCGGGCGGCCTCTTTGCTGAAATCCTTGAGCTGGGAACGGTTGTGGTAGCGGGTGTAGCGCTTGCATTTGCAAGCAGTGACGGCTCTGATCTTGATAGTCCGCAGCTCCTCGTCGGGGCAGGCCAGCTGGATGCGCTGGGAGCGGCTGTGCGCCGGGATGCAGCGGTAATCCAAGGCATTCTGCCTCCACCATTTCCCCTTGCCAATGGAATTGGGGAGGAGGTGGGAGGGGAGGCACTGGCCGGAACAGACCAGCTCCCTTAGCGGCTTGATGCTGCGGCACAGACCGTCAGTGATGTAGCGGGTCGAGTATGTTTCCCGGCAGCTGAACTCCAGGGGTTCTAAGAGAGAAAGAAGGATGGGTTGTTTTTTGTGGAATAGCCAGCATGCTGAAGTCGAATTACTGCATGAAATGTTTATACCATAGAGTTAGCTGCCCTGTCAGGCTCAGCTAGGTCGCTTCCCCTCACCTTGGGAGGAGGGTAATCAAGCCTATTGTTTCCCCTCAGTAGCCCCACCAGCTACTAGGATCTTTGGGCCTGCACACTTTTGGATTTCGTCCCACCTACCACCAGTATGCAACATCCGCCACCTCTCCCGGAAGAAATGCAGGCTTCGATCCTGAAAATATTCCACATCCGTCCAGACGGCACTAGATGCTCTGAATGAGCACAAAACCAGCCGTCAGTCTTCAGTGGATTCTATCTGAATTGCTATTTGGCAGGAGTCAAGTAGAGATTTCTACGCACTACTAAAATTCTGGCCAGTCAGTGAGCTCACCTGACAGGGCATTAGTTAGCCTGTTCCAAATTCAGAAAAACAACAGCTGTACCACTGGGATGTTCCACTTCAGACCAATGGAGGGCACTCACACGGCTGAACGCTCTTTCATTAAAAAAAGCCTTAATACATAAAAAATATGTGGAGTGGGGGGAGTAGTGAGAGTTTACCTGGAACACGCTACAAACTAACTGTAAACCACTGGAGGTTTTCCCCCCACCTCTTGCAATTAGCAATATATACATTTTATTAAACCCACCGGCAGGCTGAAGTGGTACAACCCAGAAACAGGTTTGCTACCTCCTTACCTGCTATGTCAGAACTAGGCCTTAGGGAGATTCTACAGGACCTTGGAGAGCTCCTGGGGGGAAGCAGGTGTGGCTCCTACAATGACCAGATGTCAACAGGGAACTTTAGTAGCAGAATAGTTTTGCTGGGTATCTGTCGGCTCCCGCTTCTTAGCCGGCACAAATTTAAAAGGACAGGGCCCTTCCTTGAAGCTGGCCACTATGGCATGGTTAGATGTCTCCAAGACTTGCCTTCTTGATCAGGAAATCGCAGGGGAGTCACAGAGACCTTGGTGACTGTGAGTGAGGGTTGTGGATTCACATTCCTTGCTTCTGGAATATGAACCCCCGTTCTCCAGGGCAGAACATAACATTGGAGTGAAACTTGGATGGCTGTAAATGGAGTTTAGACAAATCCCTGGAGGATAAGGCTATGAATGGCTACAAGCGATGATTTTCCAACATTGTAAGTGGTGTGCTTCTGAATACTAGTTACTGGGGTGAGTACTGTCACATTCAGGACCTGCTTGTGGGTTTCCTATAGTTATTTGGCTGGCCCCTGTGAGAACAAGAAGCTGCCTAGGGAACCAGGCAGAGGGCCTTCTCGGTAGTGGCACCCTCCTACCAGATGTCAAAGAAATAAACAACTATCTGACTTTTAGAAGACATCTGAAGGCAGCCCTGTTTAGGGAAACGTTTAATATTTGATGAATTATTGTATTTTAATATTTTGCTGGAAGCCGCCCAGAGTGGTTGGGGAAACCCAGCCAGATAGGCGGGGTATTATCATCATCATTATCATCATCTTTAATAATAATAATAATAATTTATTGTTTATACCCCGCCCATCTGGCTGAGTCTCCCCAGCCACTCTGGGCAGCTTCCAATAGAGTGTTAAAAACAATACAGCATTAAATATTAAAAACTTCCTTAAACAGGGCTGTCTTCAGATGTCTTTTAAAGATAAGATAGCTACTTATTTCCTTCACATCTGAAGGGAGGGCATTCCACAGGGCAGGCGCCACTACCGAGAAGGCCCTCTGTCTGGTTCCCTGTAACCTCACTTCTCGCAGTGCGGGAACCGCCAGAAGGCCCTCAGCGCTGGATCTCAGTGTCTGGGCTGAACGATGGGGGTGGAAACCTTCTTTGGCCTGATCCAGTGGGGCTCTTCTCTTCGTCAAGAGGACCCCATAGATTGTTCTCCCTTAGACTGGCCCTCCAGGTAATTTGGAAAATGTGGGGTCTCAGGAGGCAGTCTCTGGCTTGCATTTTTGCAGGCCTCTGAGTAATAGGACAGCACAATGCCCACCCAGAAATTGGACTCAGCCAAAAACTTCAATGTAACTTGCCAAAAAAAGAGGAAGGAGATCATTCAATGGGAATGTGAAGGCCCTGGGGCTGTGAAAAATCCCAAAGCAGCCCACAACCCCTTTAACAACAACAACAATCAGTAAGGAGTGATATGCAGATAGGCTACACAAAAGATTTGTTTCTAAAAGGGGAGGTGTTCTGATAACGGAGAGGAACAGGTATGGTTATGACCCAGAGGAAGAACATTCTAGAATTGCTTGCTTAGCCTAATTTCAGGAAGGTGACTGTTTCCTAAGCAAAGTATGAGCTTCCCCCATGCGGACAGAAGCAGGAAGTGGGCTGATAATCCGAGACAGAACATGGGAAGGAGCTTGCGAGTGTGCCAACTTCTCATGCGGTTGTTGGTGACAAGATCCCACAGACACACATTGTCAGAGGGCTGTCACTTACGCCTCAAAACAGCCACACGCTCCAGGCCAAGCGAGGAGTCACTTTCATTGCACGAATAGCAACGGCACCTGCTTTTATTTTTATTTTCTTTTTAATTTAGCAATTGGCATTGTGGGGAGGGCAGGGTTTTCATCAGGACCACAGGGCGTGGGGATGAGGAGGTTTGAGCCTTCCCTCCCCAGCTGCAGTCCTGACAGGGAACCCCCCCCCCTCCTCTGCACACACACAAGTGAAAAACAGAACAAGGCTTCTGCACCTCCGTGTAGCTACAAGCTTGTCATGCAAAGCCTAACCAAGTATATGGTTCTGTTCTATGGTACAAGATAGCTCTGACCTTGATCCCCAGGGCTTCTTCCAATTCTGTGATTCTAACCCTTGTCCTCTTGTGATTGAGGGGAGGACAGGATCCTGTGGGTTGCTGCCAATACTGGTCCTATTCAGAGTAAGCCCATTAAAGGACACGGCTCACTTCGGTTCATTAATTGCAACGGGTTTGCTCCTAGTTGGATACAACCCTGTGCAGCAGAATTTTTGCAAGGATATTGAAGTTAGGATTTACACACACAGAGAGAGATGTTTTTAGAAGAGGCTCGATCCCACCGCCCTGAGATTAAGAGTCTCATGGTCTACAGGCTGAGCTATTCCAGATCCAATCCCCATTTCCGGGTACATTTCCGGGTGCTTCAGTCCAGGTCGTGGAGAAAAGGGGAACTTTCATACATCAGCAACTTCAAAATGGAATGAGTTACATCTAGGGTGCACCCAAAAGGCTTTGTTTGCACCAGTTCTCCCTCTCATATTTTATAATGGGACCAAAATAAAGGGGAAACAAACAGTAGTTTTGTTTTCCCTATCTGCAAACTGTTGGAGTCCCCTTCTCTCACCCTGTCATGGCAAGGCACATGCTCGGTGCTTATCCATGCACAGATCTGTTTTTCAGGCAAAGTAGCTCAGTCAGTCAGTCCTTCCCTCCCAGCCTGCCATTTCTAGCAAGTTTGTGGGGAGCAGCCTTCAAGTTTGGCACGGGACATTGCAAAGAGCACCACGATGTAGTTCATAAGGATTGGGAAACAGGCTGGTTTCGGGTTTTTCCAATCTCCAGACCTCCACATCAGTTAGCCATTTTTTTCTCATGAAAATTCATCAGCATTTTAGTGCAAATATCTTCTAATGCTTTTTTTTTTTTTTGCAAGATCAGTTTTCCCTAATATAATGCATTTTTGTATCTTATTTTCATGCCTTTCTATGCACATTTATCTTTTTAAAAATGTCATTTTTTCCACTTACAAAAATGGACATTTACCCTAGTATGTGCCCTTTTGCACACATTACTTAGCTGAAGAGCAGCCCCGCAAAATTCAGGGCAGTGCAATTTTTAAAAAAACTTCCTATATTTCACATCTTGTTTCAGAGAATGCGAATTAAGTGGGTTCGCCTTTAAATGCAAATTGAATCCAATTTCTCCTCCACCTCAGAGGTCAGAACATCATACTGTCTCATTGCAAAACCTGTAAATAGAGCCCTAATTGAAGATAATCATCCCGCAATACTCCGCAGTGTTCATGGATCATATTTCAGGACAAATTGCTACCTTCTTAAGAGCATTTTCACACATGTCCTTTGGCAAGCATTCCTGTTACGATCTAATCATTGATCATGCAGGACAGGAAGCAGAGGAGACATGCCTGCAATGCCAACAAACATTCTGGCCGAATAGGTTTTATGTTTAACAAAATCTGGTCGAAACAAAAGCCACTTTTAAGTCTCACGGATGAAAACGGCTACTGGGGGGACCAAATGGCTGTAAAAAATTATTGGCCCATGAAGTGTGAAAGCTTTCATGTTACACAGAGCTCCTTTGCCAGGGGACAGTTCTTGGCTGTGTGCAACAAGCAAGGCAGATTACAAGAGGCAGAAGGTGTGGTCTTGAAGGCACGTTGTGTTGCAGGGACCTTCCTGAAACAAAGCGTGGTCCTGGGAGACCACGTGGGGCTGTCCTAGTCCCAAGGAATGGTCTGAAGGCAGGTTGTGCTGCAGCCTTCATGAAGGCAAGCAGATAGCTCAGTTGGTAGAGCATGAGACTCTTAATCTCAGGGTCCTGGGTTCGAAACCCATGTTGGGCAAAAGATTCTTGCATTACAGGGGGTTGGACTAGATGTACCTTCCAACTCTTCTATGATTCTGTACGGATCTGTGTCTGACCAGTGCCTGGGCAGGAGACCACCTGCAAAGACTGCACAATGCTGCCTTTCGTATGGTAAATCAATGTAATTCCCAAAAAGTCATTTCAGGAGCCCAATCACTAAATCTGTAGCACCTGTGGTGGGGTGGGACCATAGCTCAGGGGAGAAAGCACAAACTCTGCATGCCAAGCACTCCAGATTCAATTCCCAGCTCCTCCAGGGAAAGGATTTCAGGTTGCAGGGGAAACATCCATTGCTTAGAAGCAGAGTAATTGCTTTCCTCCTGAGTGTGATTCCCAGCATCCCTGGACAGCTGCTACCGGTCCATGTGAACAATGCTGAGCCAATGGTCTGACTCCATAGAGGGCACCTTCTGCTGTTCCTCCTCCTATCCCAGCTAATGGAAAATACCTCTGCCTTCACCTAGAGACCCTGGAGAGCTCCTGCGAGGCAAAGCTCACAGATAGCTCAGCTGATAAGAGCATGAGACTCTTGATCTCAGGGTTGGGGGTTCGAACCCCGCATTGGGCAAAAGTTTCCCGCATTGGATGGGGGGTGGACTTAGATGACCTCAGGGTCCCTTCCAACTCAATGGTTCTATAAAAATGAAAACCAGGGATGGTGGCACCTGTCGGGTTCCAGATCTTGATGGACTCCAACTGCTATCATCCTGGACCACTGGGATTGATGTGAGTTGGAGTCTGACCACATCTGTGTGACCACAGGTTTTCCCTTATCCATGGAACAACATCAAATGTGTGCACTAACCTGCAGCCAACGGTACCTGCTTGCTCTGCTACAACAGCCCGCTAGAGATGCTCACACACCTGAGAATTAGAAGAGGTTGCTTTCTCTCTCTCTCTCTCTCTGTATATATATTATTTTCCTTACCCGTCCTGCCCAGGGCAACTTGCAGGTGCCTCTCTCCTTGCTGCGCCCGGTTGTTCATGGTGTCATTGTCACTCTGGACGTACGGTTGCTCAGCCGGCGGCTCGGTATTCTCCGGGAAGTCGGGCACGATCTCCGTGGCATCGTTTTTAAGCACTTGCCAGCCTCGCCCTGAAGGGAGGAAGACTTGGAAGAAGATGCAGAAAGAGCAGAGAGCCTGAGACGTCTGCATATTTCAGGCCAGGCAGCAGTGGGGAAGGCTGTGGGAGAGATGCCTTTCGGTCTTCTTGTCCTCTTGGAGCCTAAGCGATGCAAAACCAAGGCCTCCTTTTTAAATTCCTTCTTGGAAACCGGCCGGCCAATGGCAAGGGAGTGGGAGGGGCCAGGGGTGTGTAGGGGTGTTGAGTGGGGTGTTTGAAGATTCATTCATGCCAATTTGTCTGTGGAGAGAGAGAGAGAGAGAGAGAGAGAGAGAGAGAGAGAGAGAGGAATTTGAGGGAGGGGGGAGCTGCGGTTGCAGCATCTACAAACTCTGTTTACCCTCACCCAAGTTTTTCTTGCTTGTTTCTTTCAAGGAAAGAAAAACTGGCAAGGCTCGGACTATGAGTGGGTTGTCATGGTCTGTATAGATCTGCCAGACATTTCTTCAGCCACTTGGACACAAAAAAAAGTGAAATAAAATAAAACTTTTTTCTTCTTTTTTTGGCTGCCTGGACTCCAGCGAGTTTTCTGAACGGTTCAGAGCATAGATTGCAGAGTCTCCCGATCATAAGCCTAGAACTGAGAAGGATGAAGGGATGGGGAAACTGTGTTGGGAAAACGGCACACAAACCCAGACTGGGAAATTGATACACCTACGATGTTCAAGCAGCTACCATGTGCTCGACATAGCTCTCTGGAGACAAAATGCAGCCCAAACTTAATCCTCTTGGACCAATCTGACAGGCAATTCTCCTATTTAACAAAAGTCTCCTTCTGAGGATCCTGATCAATGATCATTTTTAGCAGAAATTCCATTTGGTGTCAGAGGAGAGACATTCCCAAGGGATTAAGAATATAAAACAATGGTAAGAATACTGGAAGGGACGCGGGTGGCGCTGTGGGTTAAACCACAGAGCCTAGGGCTTGCCGAACAGAAGGTCAGCGGTTTGAATCCCCGCCACGGGGTGAGCTCCCATTGCTCTGTCCCTGCTCCTGTCAACCTAGCAGTTTGAAAGCACATTAAAGTGCAAGTAGATAAATAGGTACCACTCCGGCGGGAACGGCGTTTCCGTGCGCTGCTCTGGTTTGCCAGAAGCAGCTTAGTCATGCCAGGAAGCTGTACGCCGGCTCCCTCGGCCAATAAAGCAAGATGAGCGCCGCAACCGCAGAGTCGTCCGCGACTGGACCTAACGGTCAGGGGCCCCTTTAACTTTAAGAATACTGGAAGCGGCCTTATATTCATAGAATCATAGAACTGCAGAGTTGGAAGGGACCCCGAGGGTCATCCAGCCCAACCCCATGCAATGGAAGAATCTCAGCTAAAGCATCCACAACAGATGGCCACCCAACCTCCGCTTAAAAAACCCTCCAAAGGAGGAGCGCCCACCACTTCTCTGTTCTACTCAGCTCTTACTGTCAGAAAGTTCTTCCCGGTGTTTAGTCAGAATCGACTTTCTTGTAATTTGAAGTGATGGGTTCGAGTCCTACCCATATTGAGTCGATCTGCCTGCACTGATTGGCAGCAGTTCTCCAGGGTTTCAGAAAAGGACTTTCCCCCGATCCTACTTAGAACCACCAGGGAAGCAGATGTTCTACCGCTGAGCAACTTCTCCAAAGTTCTACTGGGCCAGACACACGGTTCAGCTCCTTTAGCCTCCTATTTCTCACAATGACCAAGCGGATGTGCTTCTGGGAATCCTGCAAACCACGTATATTCTCTCCTGCACCCATATCGCCTCTGAACGTGGTAGCCCCAAAGCATCTCAGCCCCCAGGAGCTGGCGCCCCTGTTCTATCATATACATATTGGCCGCCTTTTCTGTAAACCAGTATATGCAAAGATGAATCCAGATCTCTGTTTGGGTACTGACTTCATTCATTTCCAGTGCATACATTCTTCTTGTTCCTAAAGTGCTGAGCTTTGCGGTGTGTGTGTGTGTGTGTGTGTGTGTGTGTGTGTCATTTTACATCAAAAAAGATATAATTTCATTTCAAATTCCAGTACCCCATTTTGACCTCCCTCCCATCCCTTTTCTGCAGTTGCTTATGTTCATAATGTCTTAGCTGCATCTCCTAATTTAAGCCTAATTATTATCCCATACATTCAAGATTACTATATTCTCACTGCATGTCTTTGCGTTAACCCTGCTAATGATTGTATCTGTTTACAATAATTTCTAAAATACCCAATAAACGATTTCCACTCTTGAATCTTCTTGATTTCTTAGTCTTCCAGCAAGTTTCGCCATTTCTGCATATTCCAATAGTTTTTGCTGCCATTCTTCTCTGGTCGAGACATTTCCATTTGGGGGGCAAATATCATACGAGCTGCTGTGGTCGCACACGTAAATAAGTTTTTATAATTTGCAGATATCTCTAATCCCAATATCCCGAAAAGAAAAGCCTCTGGTTTCTTAGAAAAGGTTACAAGCTTTGAGGGATTTTATGGATTTTGCCGCCGCCACCGTTTCTCAGTAGACATGCAGCTTGCAAAATGGCATCCATGAGTAGATTGACACACGAGGGAGATCTTAAAATGATATTGTCACTGGAAGAAATTAGACAACTGGTGAATGTCTGCCACAAATATGAGAGCGGAGAAGGATTTGATCAGGATAATGGGGTGGGGGGGAGAGATCTCAGTCCAGAATTTCAGATCAGCCTTCTGCCTCTTTAATGGAGGCCCAGCCTATTTGGGGAGGAGGACCCCCCAAGTGGTGAACAATGGGCCAAACTAAATGTTATGTTAATTTTGTGGCTTGCCCTTTTTTCTTTCAAAGGCCGTGGGTGGAAGGCTAATCCAGATCTGGACTCTGGCGTGGGGCTCGGAGGAGGAAGGGGAGAGCGACTTTCTGAAATAATGTTTTGGAAGATAATTGGCCGTGGGTCCCAAACTATCCATGCTTTACATGTGAATTGGTTCTGTTGCTTCTTTCATACTTTGTGAGCTACGAGACCGTTCAGGAGTCAGATTTTCTCCGTGACCACGTGGGAATATCAATATTCTCTTTCCCCCCAGTTTAGCTGAAGCTTTTTTATGTCTACGCTGCATGCGAATCATCAGGAGCAAGCAAAGGAATGTGAAAGCTTTTCCAGTCACACAGAACGCTTCATCGGAAGACCCCACAGAAAGGCTGTGTTGTTAGTGAAAGGAAACAGCAATCCCGGCTATGGATAGGCAGTTATGTTCCGATTTCATGCTCATTGTTGGGTAGCCTCAGGCAAGCCACTAATCTCTAAAGTTAAAACTAATATGGGGGAAACATTAGCCTACCTTATAGGTTTCTTGTAAGGCTTACTGAGATAAAGAGCTGTGGACGCTCAGGAACATGCTGCATTATTATAATTATTGTTTTTACTGCTAACAGGAGGGAAAGGAGCATAAGTTTTTCATCCTCAAAGAATCATAGAATTGTAGCATTGTAAGCAGGGCCAGATTTAGGTCTGATGAGGCCCTAAGCTACTGAAGGTAATGGGGCCCTTTATATGTCTAGCTGTCCTTTGTCAACAACAAATTGTCACTGTTTTTTGTTGTTGAATATATGCTATATGGTAATTTATAGAGCTCATAGGTATCTAAAGCCATTTGCACATAACAAATAGGAGCCTACACAACACTGTTGCTGTATGTAGGTTTTATTTGATTTGTTTTTTATCCTATATTTTGGAAATGTACATCCAGGTTTTTTTCCTTTAAATTTTTTTGGGGGGCCCCAAGAGAGTAGGGCCCTAAGCTATAGCTTGTTTAGCTTATACATAAATCTGGCACTGGTTGGAAGGGATCACAGGTCATACCCACTTCAATGCAAGAATATTTAACCCAACATGGGGCTTGAACCCATGACCCTGACATTAAAAACCTGGATAGCTCAGTTGGCTAGAGTGTGGTGCTGATAATGCCAAAGTTGCAGGGTTGGACTAGATGATCCTCAGGGTCCCTTCCTGCTCTACAATTCTATGCTTCTAAGAGGCTCATGCTCCACCAATGGAGCTCATCTTGGGTTTCAACAACAAATTTGATTTCATTGTCCCACAAAAGAGGAAGGGTATCTTTTTATATGCGACGGCGGCAGCAAGAGTTTTGATCGCAGCAAAATGGAAGAGTAATGAAATCCCCTCTGTACAAGATTGGATCCAAAAGCTGACAGAATATGCCGAATTAGATGGCTTATCAGAAAAGATAAAGAATAAATCAAAACAGGAATTTGTTTCTAAATGGGAGGTTTTTAAAGAATATCTGAAAAATAAATATAGTAGTTTAAATTCTGTTGCAGCATTCGAGGAACTTCAGTAATAGTTGCTAGGTAGATAGAAGAAATTAGATTTATTGAGAATAAGTTTAATTATGAAAATGTGTATTGGCAATAAGTACGGTAATATGAATTCGAAATATGGAATAGACGGGAAGTTGGGTCTTTAGTGTTAAGACCAATAGATGTTTTATTGTTTGCCAAGAAAATTATGTGTCTATGGTTATTTTTGTAATTTGTGTGTAATTTTGTATTTGTGTTTTTTGTGTGTGTTTTTGTTATTGTATAAATAAAGATTTTTTAAAAAATGATTTCATTGTCCATTTTCAAAGTTGAAACCAGATTTGGATAATCTAGTGCACTTACTGGGGAAGATTCAGGATGTGTCTAGTTACAGCACAAAACTCTTAAATGTGCAAAGAAACAGTTAAAAATAACTTTTGTTTTTTAAAAAAACTAGAAGCTTTTCTTATGGGAATTATAGGGACAGAGCTACCTAAATTGTATAGAAATTTATTTATGTATGCTACTACAGCAGCAAGAATGCTACTTGCCCAAAAGTGGAATGAAGCAGAAGTCCCAGCAAAGGAAGAATGGATACAAAAACTTACAGAATATGCAGAAATGGTGAAACTTCCCGGAAGAATCAGAAATCAAGATGTTATAAAAAGATAACAAACTTTTTACATAAAGGAATGGAAATGGTTTGTTGAATATTTACAGATAAATTGCAAACAGATAAAAACATTGGCAGGATTATTGTAACAACCTGCAGTTTCGTAAAAGTATATATTTAAAGTGGATAATTCAATAAGCAAATTGAATGAATTTGGATATGCAGAAGATATTTTAAAAATACATTTAAAGTACCACAGAAAGAGGGGGAAGGAAGTCAAATTTTGAAATGTTAAATTGATTGTAAAACTAATGAA